AGAAAGACACAGGGAGGAGAGGGGGAGAGAGAGAGACAGAGGACCAGTGAGGGGGAGAAAGAGAAACACAGAGGGACTGGGGGAGACAAAGGGACACACAGAAGGTTTGTTGGGGGGACAAAGAGACATACAGAAGGGAAGGGGAACAAAGTGACAAAGTTTTTCTAAAAAAAGTATTGTGGGATTTTTTGGCAGAATGGTACTTAATAAGGGGCCCTGTAGAAGAAAAGGCTTCTCTGTTCTAATCTTTTACGATTTACAAAAAATCGTCCACCATTGGCTATTCTCTTCTGTAGTGAAAAAGTATTAAACATTTTATCCTCCTTATCTCTTTTATACATCTTTATATATCTCTTTTATAAAAAAAAGTCTCACTTTCCAAACCATATGCTGGCATCTTGTCAACTCTTAACCCCCTTGGAATTCAACCTTCCTTTATATAATTTTGGAGGAATTACATTTCCCACCACTTCGTTGTCTCATTAGATAACTACTAACTACTCCTAACTACTGCAGCACTGTGCCGAAGACATTCCTGTTAATTTAATCTGCAGACGTAGGGTGTGAGGCTGCAGTTTGTCTGCCAGAGACATGGGGTGGGGAGAGGGGGCAACTACAACCCTGCCCAATGCAAAAACATTAGGGGATACCCCAAACACCTGTGTCCATGTGTAGCATTAGAGCATAATCAACATTGGATAGTGGTACATTGCTGTGGATGGTAATGTTCATCATTCTCTTATCATTCAATATTTTGTCTGGGTAAAAGTAATGGTAGTTACAGTTCACAGCATTTTCTGGGTGCATATTGTGTTAGAGGACTAAGTAAAGGTGTAGAGTGTCAGTTGCCCACTTTCAGCACAGTGAATATCCCACTGTGTAGAGAAATATGCACAGAATTGACACTACCTACTACCATACACCAGTAATACTAGGATACAGTATACGGTGCACCACTAAACTCCATGCTCTATTAAGTCCCATTATGAGCAGCTCTGGAACAAAACAATCCCCAGCTGAATGTTGCAATGTTTTAGCTTCACTGTGATTTGTTGTTTTTCTTTAGATGAATTGTATTACACTAGTTACAGTTTGGATGTTACTATAGTAGAGATAAACCTTCCCACCAGCTTAATGTAGTACTCTAAATCACCAGCAGGTGGCATAAATGTACCGTTTGGATGTTAATATAGTAGAGATAAACCTTTCCATCAGCTTAGTGTAGTACTCTAAATCACCAGCAGGTGGCATAAATGTACCGTTTGGATGTTAATATAGTAGTGATAAACCTTCCCATCAGCTTAGTGTAGTACTCTAAATCACCAGCAGATGGCATAAATGTACCGTTTGGATGTTACTATAGTAGAGATAAGCCTTTCCATCAGCTTAGTGTAGTACTCTAAATCACCAGCAGATGGCATAAATGTACCGTTTGGATGTTACTATAGTAGAGATAAGCCTTTCCATCTGCTTAGTGTAGTACTCTAAATCACCAGCAGGTGGCATAAATGTACCGTTTGGATGTTAATATAGTAGTGATAAACCTTCCCATCAGCTTAGTGTAGTACTCTAAATCACCAGCAGATGGCATAAATGTTCTGTTTGGATGTTACTATAGTAGAGATAAACCTTTCCATCACCTTAGTGTAGTACTCTAAATCACCAGCAGATGGCATGAATTTACAGTTTGGATGTTACTATATAGTAGTGATAAACCTTTCCATCAGCTAAGTGTAGTACTCTAGATCACCAGCAGAGGGCAGGAACATTCCTCTAAACACTCCTTGTGACTTGAACACTCATATTGTGATAGTAAAAGACTCGGGTACAGATTTTCTCCAAGGTAATCAGATTTGTCCTATAATCCAGCATTGTAACTCAGCTCCCTGTACCCCTGGCTGGGTACCTCCGCCAAGGTCCACTTGCTAGCTGGAGTAGGGGACAAACCGCAGCACTTCTGCCCACAGTCGCCGTGGCTCCACCGGGGCCCTGGAACCGCTCCCTCCTGGAGCCAAATGGGGAACTCGCTCTAGAGACCCCAAGGCACTGGACGACACTCAGTCCTGGGAACTCTAGTCCTTACAAGGACTTTCCCCGCTGAATCCTCCACACTGGAACAGTGATTAAAGAACAGCCCTTTCCCCTCCCAGTAACCAGACGACACATAGTTCTGGGAGTACAAACTGGAATACCTCTATTGGCAGTCACAACTGGCCTTATATGCAGGTCCCCGTGCAAGGAGCCCTCCCCTCTGGACCTGAGAGTAGACTACAGTAAAAACAAATACACGATTACATTGACTCTCAGGTCCAGGACACTCCCATACAAAACAAGACAATCCCTCGCCTGTGCCTGGGAGATAATTGAGTCAAGCACTGTATTATTATTTTATTATTATTTTATTATTTATATAGCGCCATCAGATTCCATTGCGCTGTACAATGGGTGGACTAACAAACATGTAATTTTAACCAGACAACTGGACGTACAGGAACAGAGAGGTGGAGGGCCCTGCTCAATGAGCTTACATGCTAGAAGAGGGTGTATTAAACTCCATTATCTCCAAGCACAAAAAACACACATTTACCAAACACCCCAAAGGTACCTTAAAAATACATAAAGCCCCACATCCCCTGATAGCCCCGATCTGGGTGACCAACATATCCAAAAATCACCCAGATCGGTTTAGGAATTTCCTGGAAGTCATAATTTGACTGACTGCGTGCATGGTTCCCTAGCTGAAAATAGTTCCATGGAATCACGGCTAAGTGCCGCTGGGGACTGAGAATCTCTAAAAAATGGTGGATTAACCGTCATGTAGTCCACAGACTCCCAGCACCTAGAACTTCAATCCATTGTAGTGGTTATGGTGCTTACTGGGTTCCTTTAATAATATGTCCTAGCTGACTAACACAACACTGGAACAGTGATTACGTTTAAACCTTTCAGTGCCAGAATGGGGAACAGTGTGGCAAACCTAGCCACTTAAGACTGTATTTACATTTATGTGATATTGTTGCTTTAAGACTGCCTGAAATGTCCATGTTCCCTATTCTGTGTTTTATGTGAACGAGAGCATTCGTATGCTGGTGGCACGAAAGCCACCAACATTCATATAGTAGTTTCACGAACAGTGAATTTCAACACTGTTCGTGAAACGAACAAAGTACCGAATGGGAGACCACACACAGGGGGTCATGTGGTTCCCATTACGGTTTGCAACAATGTATCTTTCGGCAGCTCATAGATGTTCAGGGTGGCCGCCGTTCAGATACCGACCACGCGGTGGCGGCCATCTTGGATCCTTTGTTAGCCCAGCGGTGTTTGGTCGTCGAGTGCATCTCTACATGTGTATTCGGGACTTTTATGAAGAATTTGTATTCAACTGTATTTTGTGCGGTGTTCAGCAAATTGTGCTGGGATCTGAGCAGTACTTTCACGAAGGATGCGCTCAGACCCCAGCTACCTGCCGAACGGTCATTTGGTACAATAGCACGAATAATATTGGAGTTATGGATTTTTATGTAAAAAACCAGTTCTGCTGTGCGGAGGGATAATCCACTTAAGTGGATTTTCTAGTGGGAGTATCCCTCTCGTACAGCGGTGCATGGTGGGAGAAATGTTCTGTATGTTAAGTTCCCCATGTAGTCCCCTACTGTACAACCCCTGTAAAGTCAGTAAGGAAACCCCTTGCATGGGAAACCACATAAATACTGGAGCTTGTGAATAAAACCTCAGTTGACTCCCAGCCTATGTGTCGTCTAGTTCTTGGGAAGGAAAGATCTGTATAACGCTACGGGGGTTGTTGTATGCTGTACTTGCTTTACTGGATTATTGTATGTTTTTCCTGTCTACCAGCGGAGATACTGTGGATTATACTACCTCTCCGTTACACACAGTAACCTAAACATCTAAACACCCTTCCATTAAAAATAAATAAAATAAAATATATGCACACATATATATTATAAATACACAGATATATTATAAATACTTAGATATATTATTTGTTTTTTTTAAATGATTCTTTTTAAATGACTTATCTCCCCAAACCGTTCACTAAAACATTTGTTTTACCATTCACATTATTCCAGAATGACAAACTATTGTATATAAATAAATCTAAATACATATTTAATTGCAAATATTAGTTGGGGGGAAAAAACAAACAAAAAAACAACAGCCCTCAAACAATAATGAGACCTATAAATGTAGTTAGAGTGAAGTCATACATGATATCCATAGGGGTGGGAACTACAACACCCATGATACTGCCAGGGATGATAGGAATTGTAGTTCTGTCCCACCATGGCTTTGCATTGTGGCCCTCACTGAGTCACAGTATCCCAGCTTTGCATTGTGGCCATCACTGAGTCACAGTATCCCAGCTTTGCATTGTGGCCATCACTGAGTCACAGTATCCCAGCTTTGTGGAAGGCTGTGCTCTCTCAGTTAGAGCAGTGACAGCGAGGTGTGGCTGTGGGCGCGGTTGGATGTATTTTGACCCGGGCGAGCAGCCGTAGTTAGTGAACTGCAGAGCCAACATGGCGGAGAGCATGGGCCAGCTGCGGTGTACCCGGGAGGGCCATGGGCAGGAGCTGCTGCAGGATGACTCGGTGCCCACTGAGACCTCCATAGAGCAGGTACAGGGGCTGTGTGTCCAGCATGGCGGGGGGTGCCAACACTCTCTGTGTGCCAGCTCATTGAGACCCACTCACCCTCACACTCAGTGCTTTCTGTGCCAGTGTGGGCATCTGATTTAACCTGTCAGTGTCAGCTCATTGAGACACACTCACACCCAGTTCTTTCTGTGCCCGTCTGGGCACCTGATTTAACCTGTCAGTGTCAGCTCATTTAGACCCACTCAGTGCTTTCTGTGCCAGTCTGGGCAACTGATTTAACCTGTCAGTGTCAGCTCACACTCAGTGCTTTCTGTGCCAGTGTGGGCACATGATTTAACCTGTCATTGTCAGCTCATTCAGACACGCTCACACTCAGTGCTTTCTGTGCCAGTGTGGGCACCCGATTTAACTGGTCATTCAGCTCATTGAGAGACACTCACACTCAGTGCTTTCTGTGCCAGTCTGAGCACCTGATTTAACCTGTCAGTGTCAGCTCATTGAGACCCACTCACACTCAGTGCTTTCTGTGCCAGTCTGGGCATCTGATTTAACTGTCAGTGTCCGCTCATTGAGACCCACTCACACTCAGTGCTTTCTGTGCCAGTGTGGGCACCTGATTTAACCTGTCAGTGTCAGCTCATTGAGACCCACTCACACTCAGTGCTTTCTGTGCCAGTCTGGGCATCTGATTTAACTGTCAGTGTCCGCTCATTGAGACCCACTCACACTCAGTGCTTTCTGTGCCAGGGTGGGCACCTGATTTAACCTGTCAGTGTCAGCTCATTGAGAGACACTCACACTCAGTGCTTTCTGTGCCAGTGTGGGCACCTGATTTAACCTGTCACTGTCAGCTCATTGAGACCCACTCACACTCAGTGCTTTCTGTGCCAGTCTGGGCATCTGATTTAACCTGCCAGTGTCAGCTCATTGAGACCCACTCACACTCAGTGCTTTCTGTGCCAGTGTGGGCACCTGATTTAACCTGTCAGTGTCAGCTCATTCAGACCCACTCACACTCAGTGCTTTCTGTGGCAGTCTGGGCATTTGATTTAACCTGTCAGTGTCAGCTCATTGAGACCCACTCACCCTCACACTCAGTGCTTTCTGTGGCAGTCTGGGCATCTGATTTAACCTGTCAGTGTCAGCTCATTGAGACACACTCACACTCAGTGCTTTCTGTGGCAGTCTGGGCATCTGATTTAACCTGTCAGTGTCAGCTCACACTCAGTGCTTTCTGTGCCAGTGTGGGCACCCGATTTAACTGGTCATTCAGCTCATTGAGAGACACTCACACTCAGTGCTTTCTGTGCCAGTCTGAGCACCTGATTTAACCTGTCAGTGTCAGCTCATTGAGACCCGCTCACACTCAGTGCTTTCTGTGCCAGTCTGGGCAACTGATTTAACCTGTCAGTGTCAGCTCATTGAGACACACTCACACTCAGTGCTTTCTGTGGCAGTCTGGGCATCTGATTTAACCTGTCAGTGTCAGCTCACACTCAGTGCTTTCTGTGCCAGTGTGGGCATCTGATTTAACCTGTCAGTGTCAGCTCACACTCAGTGCTTTCTGTGCCAGTGTGGGCACCTGATTTAACCTGTCATTGTCAGCTCATTCAGACACGCTCACACTCAGTGCTTTCTGTGCCAGTGTGGGCACCCGATTTAACTGGTCATTCAGCTCATTGAGAGACACTCACACTCAGTGCTTTCTGTGCCAGTCTGAGCACCTGATTTAACCTGTCAGTGTCAGCTCCTCAGTGCTTTCTGTGCCAGTGGCGGGCACCCGATTTAACTGGTCATTCAGCTCATTGAGAGACACTCACACTCAGTGCTTTCTGTGCCAGTCTGAGCACCTGATTTAACCTGTCAGTGTCAGCTCATTGAGACCCACTCACACTCAGTGCTTTCTGTGCCAGTCTGGGCAACTGATTTAACCTGTCAGTGTCCGCTCATTGAGACCCACTCACACTCAGTGCTTTCTGTGCCAGTCTGGGCATCTGATTTAACCTGTCAGTGTCAGCTCATTGAGACCCACTCACACTCAGTGCTTTCTGTGCCAGTGTGGGCACCTGATTTAACCTGTCAGTGTCAGCTCATTGAGACCCACTCACCCTCACACTCAGTGCTTTCGGTGCCAGTCTGGGCATTTGATTTAACCTGTCAGTGTCAGCTCATTGAGAGACACTCACACTCAGTGCTTTCTGTGCCAGTGTGGGCACCTGATTTAACCTGTCAGTGTCAGCTCATTGAGACCCACTCACACTCAGTGCTTTCTGTGCCAGTGTGGGCACCTGATTTAACCTGTCAGTGTCAGCTCATTGATACCCACTCACACTCAGTGCTTTCTGTGCCAGTGTGGGCACCTGATTTAACCTGTCAGTGTCAGCTCATTCAGACCCACTCACTCAGTGCTTTCTGTGCCAGTGTGGGCACCTGATTTAACCTGTCAGTGTCAGCTCATTCAGACCCACTCACCCTCACACTCAGTGCTTTCTGTGGCAGTCTGGGCATTTGATTTAACCTGTCAGTGTCAGCTCATTGAGACCCACTCACACTCAGTGCTTTCTGTGCCAGGGTGGGCACCTGATTTAACCTGTCAGTGTCAGCTCATTGAGACCCACTCACACTCAGTGCTTTCTGTGCCAGTCTGGGCAACTGATTTAACCTGTCAGTGTCAGCTCATTGAGACCCACTCACACACTCAGTGCTTTCTGTGCCAGTGTGGGCATCTGATTTAACCTGTCAGTGTCAGCTCATTGAGACACACTCACACCCAGTTCTTTCTGTGCCCATCTGGGCACCTGATTTAACCTGTCAGTGTCAGCTCATTTAGACCCACTCAGTGCTTTCTGTGCCAGTCTGGGCAACTGATTTAACCTGTCAGTGTCAGCTCACACTCAGTGCTTTCTGTGCCAGTGTGGGCACATGATTTAACCTGTCATTGTCAGCTCATTCAGACACGCTCACACTCAGTGCTTTCTGTGCCAGTGTGGGCACCCGATTTAACTGGTCATTCAGCTCATTGAGAGACACTCACACTCAGTGCTTTCTGTGCCAGTCTGAGCACCTGATTTAACCTGTCAGTGTCAGCTCATTGAGACCCACTCACACTCAGTGCTTTCTGTGCCAGTCTGGGCAACTGATTTAACCTGTCAGTGTCCGCTCATTGAGACCCACTCACACTCAGTGCTTTCTGTGCCAGTCTGGGCATCTGATTTAACCTGTCAGTGTCAGCTCATTGAGACCCACTCACACTCAGTGCTTTCTGTGCCAGTGTGGGCACCTGATTTAACCTGTCAGTGTCAGCTCATTGAGACCCACTCACCCTCACACTCAGTGCTTTCTGTGCCAGTCTGGGCATTTGATTTAACCTGTCAGTGTCAGCTCATTGAGAGACACTCACACTCAGTGCTTTCTGTGCCAGTGTGGGCACCTGATTTAACCTGTCAGTGTCAGCTCATTGAGACCCACTCACACTCAGTGCTTTCTGTGCCAGTGTGGGCACCTGATTTAACCTGTCAGTGTCAGCTCATTCAGACCCACTCACACTCAGTGCTTTCTGTGGCAGTCTGGGCATTTGATTTAACCTGTCAGTGTCAGCTCATTGAGACCCACTCACCCTCACACTCAGTGCTTTCTGTGGCAGTCTGGGCATCTGATTTAACCTGTCAGTGTCAGCTCATTGAGACACACTCACACTCAGTGCTTTCTGTGGCAGTCTGGGCATCTGATTTAACCTGTCAGTGTCAGCTCACACTCAGTGCTTTCTGTGCCAGTGTGGGCACCCGATTTAACTGGTCATTCAGCTCATTGAGAGACACTCACACTCAGTGCTTTCTGTGCCAGTCTGAGCACCTGATTTAACCTGTCAGTGTCAGCTCATTGAGACCCGCTCACACTCAGTGCTTTCTGTGCCAGTCTGGGCAACTGATTTAACCTGTCAGTGTCAGCTCATTGAGACCCACTCACACTCTGTGCTTTCTGTGCCAGTGTGGGCACCTGATTTAACCTGTCAGTGTCAGCTCATTCAGACCCACTCACTCAGTGCTTTCTGTGCCAGTGTGGGCACCTGATTTAACCTGTCAGTGTCAGCTCATTCAGACCCACTCCCACTCACACTCAGTGCTTTCTGTGCCAGTCTGGGCAACTGATTTAACCTGTCAGTGTCAGCTCATTGAGACCCACTCACACTCTGTGCTTTCTGTGCCAGTGTGGGCACCTGATTTAACCTGTCAGTGTCAGCTCATTCAGACCCACTCACTCAGTGCTTTCTGTGCCAGTGTGGGCACCTGATTTAACCTGTCAGTGTCAGCTCATTCAGACCCACTCCCACTCACACTCAGTGCTTTCTGTGCCAGTCTGGGCAACTGATTTAACCTGTCAGTGTCAGCTCATTGAGACCCACTCACACTCTGTGCTTTCTGTGCCAGTGTGGGCACCTGATTTAACCTGTCAGTGTCAGCTCATTCAGACCCACTCACTCAGTGCTTTCTGTGCCAGTGTGGGCACCTGATTTAACCTCTCAGTGTCAGCTCATTCAGACCCACTCCCACTCACACTCAGTGCTTTCTGTGGCAGTCTGGGCATTTGATTTAACCTGTCAGTGTCAGCTCATTGAGACCCACTCACCCTCACACTCAGTTCTCTCTGTGCCAGTCTGGGCATCTGATTTAACCTGTCAGTGTCAGCTCATTGAGACACACTCAGTGCTTTCTGTGTCAGTGTGGGCACCTGATTTAACCTGTCTGTGTCAGCTCATTGAGACCCACTCACACTCAGCTGCCATGCGAGGACAGTCTGAGCGAAGGAGAATGTGATGTGCTGACAACAGATGCCAAATTTGCACAGAATTCACGTCAGCCAGCATGGAATTCTTGTTTTCTGACAAGCTCATGTTATCCCAGTGACACTGTCGGTATTAGTGTTCATTGTGAAACATTGCATGCATATTTCGGGCACCATGACTACTTAAAATCAGTAAAGTGGTAATGGTGCGTAGAGTAACCCATTAAGGTTGTTGCAATTCTGGCCTGTGGTCACCGCATTTATTGTATGTAAAACAGTGCTTATGAAGGTGTAGCAGAATATAAACCAAAGTGTTAAAAGCCAGCTATCATTTTTACAATGTATCTTTCTTGAAACTTGTTTATTTTAGAATTGCATACAAATATTTATATATTATATTTGTTACTTGTCAGTTAATTCTTGGCATACATGGCCATGTGACTAAAGGGACACACCAATCACCATAACCACTGCAGCCTTGGTCCCTTCCAAGCATAATCTATCAAACTTTTTATTGCAGTTTCACACTTTCCTGGGTTCTGGCCTATTTGAGCTGGATAAGCCAGAGGCTGATGTACATGTTGATTTATCGAGTTTCAGCTGAGTGCTTTCCTCCAGTGAGTGAGCTAAATGAGCAGATGCATGGCAGGACCTTGTCAAGTGACAAACTGCTAAAATGGCTTCACAAATTGTGATGGGATGAAACTTGGTCACTCCTAGAACCATAAACACTACAATGACCTGTAGTGGATATGGTGCTGTGAGTTTGCCTTTAATTGAGTTATAGGGGAGAGCGAAGAACTCTGCAAGGATTTGAGTATCCTGCTCTGTCACAACAACTACAGCACATACGTTTGAGTGTCTTGCTTGAAGTAGAAAGACAGATGTCACTCTGTTCAAATGTAGAATGACTGACAGTTAAAGCAGGATCTTGGGAGGTTTCCGGCATAATACGTGTGCAGCTCCTGAATTTTGTTCAGTTAAAGCGATTTTTGTCACTTCTCTGCATTTTATAAAGATAAAATATTTATGAAACACTGATCCTTAATGCAATGGAATTTTACTGAAATTCCAATGCAATCCAGAGATATTACTTTGTCTTATGGCAAATCTGAGGTTGACAAAATGCAGGTCTCCGCTGTCAACTTTTGTCCAATCCCAACAACCATCACGACTGACGACTGTGGGATAGAGCTATCGCTCTATGGAGGTTCCAGCGGTGTCTCAAGATCCTCCATAGACCTCATTGACATACTCTCGCAGAAGAAGCTTAGCACTGAACAGGATACGCAGAGAGAAGATGGCAGCGGCCGCAAGGGACAGCTTCAGGTAAGTACAACTACCTTCCCCTGCACCCTACGACTACTAGACCATCAACGTTGCATAAATATGCAAAGACCCCCGAAAGTGACAAATCTGCTTTAAGATGTATTGACATCTTGGGGAAGTGAGCTCTTCGTTTGCTAGCGCTGGAGGGCATGTATGTGGTGTATTAACACAGAAAGGTATTAAATATATATTTTATTACTGTGATGTATTTTCAATTTACCACGGTTCACTTCAAATGGACAGTTTAAAGGTACTCTCCCGTGCCAGGAAAACATATCCGTTTTCCTGGAACTGCAGGACCCTTCCTCCCCCCATCCCATGTTGCTGAAGGGGTTAAACCCCTTCAGTGACTTGCCTGAATCCAGCGCTGATGTCCCTTGGTGCTGGGTCAGGCTCCGCCCACTCTCCTCCCCCGCTGACATCCGCCAGCGGGGGAGACCTAATGTGCATGCTCGGCTGTGGCCGCGCACGCGCATTTGACCTCCTAATAGGACAGCATTATTCAATGCTTTCCTATGGGGATTCCGGCAACGCTGGAGGTCCTCATGCATAGCGTGAGGACGTCCAGCGTCGTTTAAAACACTTACTGTGTTCTAAGAACACAGAAGTCTGGTAGACAGCCACGAGAAGAGGACTTAACCATGCAAGGTAATTATTGCAGTTTATAAAAACTGCAATAATTACACTTCCAGGGTTAAGAGTAGTGGGAGTTGGCATCCAGACCACTCCAATGGGCAGAAGTGGTCTGGGTGCCTGGAGTGTCCATTTAACATTTTGCTATTTCCATACCTACAAGTGGCTGTCAGTTGTGCGTCCAATGCTTAGATTCTGTGCTTCTCAGAGAGGTGCTAGATGCTTCTCATTAGAAACGTTAAAATTGCATATCACACCAATGGCTGCGAACGCACCTTGTGTTCTCAATGCCATGAGAAGCATCTGATTGGACACAAATCATAGAGCTTGAGTGTCACCTGAGGAGGATTAGGCTTCAGTCCTGGCAATAAAATAAAGGCAAGTTTAAGGACTCTTTTTTAAAGTTATACTTGAAGTATCAACAGTTTCATCAGTGCCGGCTTCCCAATTACTTCCTTCTGAATAGGTGTAATTTAAAAAACTGTTGCTGAAGAGGTTACATCACCTTGGGTGACACGATCTGTCTTTACTTCCTAGAGGCTGGAATACAAGGATTTGGTTGTCTGTTGTCCAACTTGTGTTTCAAAAAATGTTTTGTTAGTAAAAGTGAAACTGATCAGGTGACATGAAGTTTGCATGTTTTGTACATGCTGTTGCCTTACTACTGGATAAAAACTTGTTTTGAGACTCGTAGCTGTTTTTAGAGCAACATTTTACAAGTGGAGCAATCACCAAAGTAACTAATCTATTCTTCTGATTGCTTCACTTTTAGGATTTGATGCTAAAAATGCCTCTTCTCCAACATTGCGGGGCCAGAAGCACATTATATGAGCAGGCATGCACACTTCTTTTGTGTTATTGGTAACTTATGTTAACTTTTTATTTTATTTTATTTTTTCTCCTCTCATTTCATGATCCAGTTCAGACCAGGCACCGCCAGAGCACAAATTGTAAATGAATAGAATAAATACGGACATTATTTGTCTTGTCTCTATGCTGACATTGGTGAATAATACATATTATTAAATATGTATTCTAAATAGTTGCAGTAATTCTGAGGTTTTTATGTCATAACCATTTAAAGAACCCCTTTAAAAGAAAAAGGAGAGGGGAAGGTGTAGGTAGAGAGAATACCTGTATGTGTTAATATCTAATGTTGTCACTGAGCCGGAAGTTGCAGAGTTCTAAAATGCAGCTCCTATTGTATGGATGTTCCTGGCACTATCTACCAGACATTACTGCGGAAGCTATAGCTGTAATATCAACGCTAGAAACTGTATGGGCTGAGTTTAACTTATGAAGCTAAAACGCGTGCAAGAATGTCCTTCTGACCCCAATTATAATATTGCATTAATAAAATACAGTCTGTTTCTTTTTTTAACAGAAAAGAGTTGAGCAGTGTGTGGGCACAATATTCAATATGTACAAGACTCATATAAAAGAACCGTAAGTACTTTTTTTATCTTGTGTGAATTATCAATGTTTTTTTGTTACTAGTGAATAATGATAATTTTGTTTGTACTGTTAAAGGGACACTGTAGTCACTAGAACAACTACAGCTTATCGTATTTGTGCATGTGAGCATAATCATTCCCTTCTGGCTTTTTGCAGTGTTTACATTACAAAAAAGAAAAGGCAGTGTTTACATTACAGCCTAGTGACACCTCAACTGGCCACTCCTAAAATGGATGCTAGAGGTGCTTACTGGGGTAGTGCTGCACAGTCTGACTGACATTCAGTGTTTCCACCCTCTGCCTGCAGATTACTGAACTTTCCTCATAAAGATGCATTGATTCAGTGCATCCCTATGACGAGATGCTGATTGGCCAGGGTTGTGTTTTTCCTATGGGAAAGCATTGTGATTGGCTCAGTACACCACTTCTGATGATATCAGACAAGCAGGCAAATCAGGGGCAGAGCCAGCAGCAGCAGACTGGAATAAAAAAAAAAAAAGATTTTGCTATATTTAGGTGGGCCCGGGGGGGCTAGATGGTGGTTTTAACACTATAGGGAATACATGTTGGTGTTCCTTTTAAGGGTTATTCCAACCAATATCTGGTGTTTTCAGAAAACATTGGCCTTTGTTAGAGTAACCCTTCCTGTGCTGGTCCCTCTTAGTCAAAGTTTAAAACAAAAATGTGTAATATGCACTGAAGTGCAAAGTTCCGGGCTGCCTAATGATGCCCCAATGATGATGCTGTAGGTGTAGTTACATCTCTGGTAGCAAAGGGTTTAAACTATTTATGTGCAATGTTTAATAGTGAAACGCTGCATATACATGCACCATAACCACTTCAAATCACTGAAGGGGTCCATGGTGTTTGAAATTAGCCATTTGAATGATTGGTCACTGTATTAAAAAATTTTTTTATTATTTATTTATTTATTTATTTATCTTTTCTGCTATAAAGTCACTCAAAATGTAGGGCTTTGTTTCACCTCAACCATTATCACTATGACAACTCACTTTTCAGGTCCTCCTTCAAACACTAGGTTTTCTTGATTAGTCCCTTCCTATTGCAAATATATTTAACTCATCCTGCTTTATTCATTGTTGAATTGTATTAATCTATCTACCTTTTGAATAAATATGTAAACACATGCATGGAAAATTCCTCTTAGATTTATTAGCCAAGGAGTTACTAGTTTACTTCATGTTATATGCATGCGTTCCCATTTCAGAAATGGAAAAATACACTCAAAAAAACATAACCACTACAGCTTGCTGTAGTAGTTATATTGCCAGATGTCCACAAATGCTCAGCATTGCCTCTAGCATTGAGTTAATGGGGTTTTAGCTGACGCTGGATGTTCTCCGCGCATTTAGTGGCTGTCTGTCTAGTAGACAGCTAAAGGTGGGGTTAACCCTGCAAGGTAATTATTGCAGTTTATCAATAACCGCAGTAATTACAATTGCAGGGTTAAACTGACAGGGACATTGCACCTAGACCACTTTAATAAGCTGAGCCTATAGTGTACCATTTTAATGATTGTGTAAAGTAACAGAACTTTATTCAACAACAATAGGTGTTTGGTGGATCTACTGAGTTTCACATTATACACTGCATAGTGCTCACACACTTGACTGAAGACACTCAGAAAAACAAAAAACGTAAAATAGGATTTTCTTTTTCCTAACTGTTAACTAAAAACTCTTAACTATATATTGGTAACATAGTATAACATTAGGAACAATGACACACATTTTACACTTTACATATACATTTGCTGGCGAAATGCATACTTACAAGTATTGTTTTAGCTTGTACCTCCATGCCATTTAGGTATGGATACTGCTTCGATGGCTATTAATGCACCAGGGGGCTCTCTTAATGCCTGGTATGACATCCTACGGTATGCACTAGGCACTGTGCCAGTACTACAATGTATGTGCCACTCACAGCAACGACCTGCAACCAAAACTCAAGTATACGGCTGATGCAAATTTGCTAGCACAATATGTAGATGATTTTAGAATTGAACTTTAGTGGATGTTAATAAGTGGATGTTCTCTGCAGACTTGTAGGGTCAGAGTGACAGGTTAACTCTGTTATGAGAAAACATGCGGTGCAGAGAGTCCCCTGCACAGAGTGGTTTTATAAACAGATAAATCTTTCTAAGATAGTCCGGTAAAGAGACTAAAAAGCAGCTTTGTTCTTGGGGAGGGGGCAGGGGGAATTCTAATTTCTTCATATTTTTCATGAATAAGACCACTTGTGAGTCCAAACTTGCACATCCCATCATTTATGGAAAGTGCAGCATTCCACTAGAAATTTGGGAAGTACCAAGATCCAATTAGAAATCGTACCAGGTTTTTATTTAGTAAATTAAACTCTCTACTATTAAAAAGGGAATGGGGTTAGATGTCCCTTTTAAAGACTGGTAGAAATGCTGCAAGAGAGATGACATTTGCTGGATGGAATGTTTCCATGGAGTTTCGTAGTACTATTACATTACTCACAGCTCTCTGGAGCAAAACACAAGTGGTGATGAGTAGTTTGTTCACAAATTTAATTAATATGTTCACCGCAGATAATGTTATGGAAAACATCTGCAAGATATCAGCAAAGCATTATCATATACAAAATAAATACTCTCTCTCCCTGGATGCAGGGGGAAGCGGGGGTTGTTAATAAATTGCAACCTGTGTGTGTCAGTGTATATTTGTATCTTTGTGTAGCCGCATATTTGTATGTGGGCATATATCCCAGCATTCAGATACAAACACACCCCTCAATGCAAACGTCAACGCTACATGCAAACACACTCCACCAATCAAACGCCAACGCTACATGCAAACACAGTCCACTAATCAAACGCTAACACTACATGCAAACACACTCCTCCAATCAAACGCCAACGCTACGTGCAAACACACCCCTCCGATCAAACGCCAACGCTACGTGCAAACACACCCCTCCGATCAAACGCCAATGCTACGTGCAAACACACCCCTCCGATCAAACGCCAAACGCCGAATGCTACGTGCAAACACACCCCTCCGATGCTACGTGCAAACACAATCAAGCGCCAACGCTACGTGCAAACACACCCCTCCGATCAAACGCCAATGCTACGTGCAAACACACCCCTCCGATCAAACGCCAATGCTACGTGCAAACACACCCCTCCGATCAAACGCCAATGCTACGTGCAAACACACCCCTCCAATCAAACGCCAATGCTACGTGCAAACAGACTCCACCAATCAAACGCCAACGCTATGTGCAAACACACCCCTCCAATCAAACGCCAACGCTAGTGCAAACACACTTGACAAACTTACTGTGATATTTATTAATGGGCACCTGGTTTGCATATGCATGTTTTATCTTTTTCTGTGTATGCACTGTATTACTCCTATTTTTATTTTTGCTTGGGGTGTACTGCAGAATTCTAGGAAGAAAAAGGTTGAGGTACACTGGTGTATATGAATGAATCTGTTTTTAACTTATTCTTGTTATTGCTTTCAATTTATTAGTATCTATACAGTAAATACGCCTCATTATCTACATAAAAATTGATTATTTGCATTGTACCCAAGTACTTCCTTTCCATATTACATTATGCAATCTGAATATTCCTTTTGATTTGGGGATCTAAAAACCCTGGATGTTTAATCAGACTTCAGATAGACTTGCTTAAACAAGATTGCTTTAATATAAGGCTGGTGTTTTTAAGAGCCTAACCTCTAAAAGAGAGTATCTGCATACATCCTCTCATCGCTTTGCAATGGGCACAAATGTTCTCTTTAGCTGATATCACAGCCCTAACCGGCATGAAACCTTTATGCTACATAAATACTCCTGTTATTAAAAATGAACCAAGTGCAATAAAATAACCAAAATAGTCCAAAATCTCACTTGAGGTCCCTTATTGAATTTGTATATTTAATAGAGGTGTAATTGCTATATAGCTCATACCCCATTTTATTTTATTTTTTGACACTATTTCTTTAACTTGCCAAACTATTCTATAAAACGGAATGGCTGGCTGATTTGAAGGATATTTTTTTTTAGTTTGGCCATTTTTGGCTTAAAATGTCAAAATCACTTTGAATTCTCGACCGCTTTAAATGGGGTTCTCCAACTTACTTGACCATTTCTGTTTTTTTAGAAGTTGTGTTAGAGCAGCAATCTGTATTTAAAGTGTTTCTGATTGAAACGCTGCATAGACCGACAATCTGCAGTTTTTTAGCCCGGGTCCAGTTGCACCCTCTGGCACGCATGACTTTGGCAGAATTGTGTTTCAGGCTGCCTAATGTTAATTCTGTACAAAAAATGTTGTCAGCGCACACATTGTGCGTTGTGACAGATGTTATCAGCTTCTATCCTTTTAGGCAAGGTTGTGCGTGTACCTGTAGTGAGAAGTCTCTCTGTATCGATCCTTCCCTACCTCCCCTCCTTGGCTCGGACCATACACATGCGCTGTTAGCCTATAAAATAATTCCAATCCAATGTTCCTATATGAGAAGAAGCAGTGGTGCAGTGTGATCAGGGATGGAGCATGGAAAGGAATTGAGGAGAACTGGTTTGGTGCTTGATTCAATTAGCTTCTAGTGCTCAATAGACCATCAACAATTAAAAAAAAAAAAAAATTGTGAAAAGGGTTTGGAGTAACATAAGTTGTTAAAGGGACACTCCATGCACAAAAGCCATTTCATATTAATGTAGTGGTTTTGGTGCACAAACCATGTGTTTCATTTCTAAGGTCTTCACATACAGCATGACAACGCCAAACAGGTCCGAAGTGTCTCATAAAGAAGTATTTGACTTGATGCTCCCTTACGAAGAATATTGCATTATTGAAGTGATTCATGTTCATGTCCTTGGTGCTACTCTATGAGAATTCTTGGATTGGAGCTTTCAGACAGAGCAGCTGTTCAGACTCTCATTGGACTACAAGTAGTCCCCTCCCTCACCCCCACAATCTTTAAAAGGAAGACTTTGAATCTAAGTAAGAAAAGGAACACTTAAAGTTAAAAATATTTCTTTGTAACCTTGGGGTGTTCTTATAAAATATCCACCGAGGGCACAGAAAATTCTGGTCACCATCAGAATAAATTCAGAATGAACCCAGTGACTCTAATTTAGAAAGTGTTGTCCTCTTTTCTTCAATCCAAGTAGTGGGTAACTTATTTTGTAGTCAATACGATTTTTAGTTAGGGCCACAAACACGCAGACAAAAACAAATCTCAAATCCTGTCCAGTTTGTAAGTCCCAAGTGTATATCCACACCACACCAAAATCCCTAATATACTGTATCATAATTATAAAGATAATAATTCATAATATATAATAATGTTTTCTATTTAAAAGTAGTTTAATTTTTATTTTTTATTTTTTTTAATCTTGCCCATACATTGGTGTGCAAATTACTTGATATCTTATTAACTCCGTTTTATAATCATGTGTTCAATATATAATTTCTTTTATTTTATTCACCCTCTTTTCTAGACTTGTTCTGGAGCGAGACATACATACTCACTATCTGAGAAAAGGTTTACAGCAACTTTCAGAGGGATATGAGGTAACTGAACAATGTCTATGAATATGGTCTGTAGGTTTTTATAAATTGGCTTTTTTTCCCCCTCTAAGTATTTGACTGGCATCGCAATCCAATGATCTACAGGGAGCCAGGATGGTGGCAATGTGTTTCGGGATAGAGATTTGTGCAGTGGTGTGGATTTCTCAATGTAACTTTTTTTTCAGACATCACAAACACATTACTTAAATATATGGAAAGTAAACATAATATATTAAGCATAAAGAATAGTTAAAATTCTCCTTCTTCCAAAAGTAAATGCATACCTCAAAATTCTAACCGATCTAAATAAGTCTTATTTAAAACTTGTTAAAGCAAACCATCACTGCTGTGAGCCCCAAGTAGTAGCACGCTGTAGTTGCTGTGCAAACAAACATTTTAAAGCCCGACTCCACTGTTCAAGTGTACGTTTAACCTTGGGTTGGGTCAAGTACTTCCAAAGCTTTAAACTGGTTGTATAATCTCAGGATACGTATTTATGCTTTGAGAAACTAGGATAGTGAGAGAGAGAAATATATGTATGGATGGAGATTATAGAATATATATATATATATATATATATATATATATATATATATTTTTACCTTCAATTTCACTTTTCATCTGATTAGCGGCAGTGGTACAGTACAGTACAGTTTTTGCCCACCATAGAAGCTCTATCTTTGTTTATTCTCCCCCCTCCCTTGATTCAAGCATATATATTTGGTAGTCCACATTCTGTCCCATATTTTCAATAGATTTGCCTGAAGGGGTCTCATGCATGACTTTGACCAGTTTACTGGTGGAATGGTAGAGGTTAACAAACCCAGGATTCTAATAATTTGTCTTACAGAGTACCATTTTGCTTTGCAAAATTTTGGATTTTCAGGTTTCAGTTTTACTTGTTTTTCTGTAGGAAGTAGAAGTTTGTTAGTCTAAATGAAGTTGTTATGGTGCTTTCTTACCTTAGAGGAACACCATTGGTATCAAAACAGTTATATATTTTTTCGATTTGACACGGTATCAAAAACTTAAAAAAAAATAAACAACAAGGGGATAGTGTGCAAAAAAGCGTTTACATACTTAAACCTAGATTAGGAGCTCAAAACACTTGTGTGGGGTTAGCCTTTCTCCCCTCGCCAAAATAAAAATGCAGATATGTGATAAACACCTATAGAAAATGGAGTGCTAAAATGAGGTATCTCACCCTTTAATAACAGTGATATATAGGCAGGAGAGAAGCAAATGCCAAAACAAAATATAGTGCTGATGGCATGTCCACAATTGAGGTATAGCTCAAATAACTAGGAACACTCGCATGAAGCAGTGTCTGGCAACAATAAGGCTAATATTGGCACAGGTAGCAACACACCTTTCTTCTAATGAAACACCACATTCAAAAGTGAGAAGGAAAAAAGGCAGTAATATGGCAGGTGTCTAAACCACTCCAATATAAAGAAACAAGCTGGATGTGCTCACCTGGATAAAAGCCAAATAGGTCCTGGCTCTAGGTGGTATAGACATCTGCATTGTGCCCACAATAATCTTGGCTAATATCTGTGATTAGATCTCATATTTCAGTTTAACAAAATTGCTGTTTCTAAAGATAGATATACATGCAGATGTATGTACAATTAGAATACAGTGCAAAAGTTCATTTATTTCAGTAATGCAACGTAAAAGGGGAAACTAATATATGAATAGACGCATTACATGCAAAGCAAGATAGTTCAAGCCGTGATTTGTCATAAGTGCGATGATTATGGCTTCCAGCTCATGAAAACCCCAAATCCACAATCTCAGTAAATTAAGTCAGCTGGAAAATTAAGTCAGCATCCCCATAAAGCTCGTCTGCGGATGGAAGCATGAAGTGCTCCAAAATCTCCTGGTAGACGGCTGCGTTGACCCTGGACTTAATGAAGCACCGTGGACCAACACCAGCAGATGACATGGCTCCCCAAATCAACACAGACTGTGGAAACTTCACACTGGACTTCAAGCGTCTTGCAGTGTGTGCCTCTTCATTCTTCTTCCAGACTCTAGGTCTTTGGTTTCCAAATGCGATACAAAAGTTGCTCTCATCAGAAAAGAGGACTTTGGACCACTGCGCAACAGACCAGGTCTGTTTTTCTTTAGCCCAGGTAAGACGCTTCTGACGTTGTTTGTTGTTCAGGAGCTGCTTGACAAGAGGAATAAGACATCTGAAGCCCATGTCCAGGATCCGTCTGTGTGTGGTGGCTCTTGATGCACTGACTCCAGCCTCAGTCCACTTCTTGTGAAAGTCCCCAACACATTTGAATGGCCTTTTCCTGACGATCCTCTCCAGGCTGCGGTCATCCCTGCTGCTTGTGCAACTTTTTCTTCCACATAATTTTCTATTAATGTGCTTTGATACAGCACTTTGGGAACATCAAACTTCCTTCGCAATTACCTTTTGAGGCTTTCCCTCCTTATGGAGTGTGTCAATGAGGGTTTTCTGCACAACTGTCAGGTCAGCAGTCTTCCCCATGATTGTTATTCCTACTAAACCAGACTGAGAGACCATGTAGAGGCTCAGAAACCCTTTGCAGGTGTTATGGCTTACTTAGCTGATTAGAGTGGGACAATGTGAGCCTAGAATATTGCACCTTTTCACAATATTCTAATTTACTGAGATTGTGGATTTGGGGTTGTCATGAGCTGTTAGCCATAATCATCGCACTTATGACAAATCACGGCTTGAACTATGTTGCTTTGCATGTAATGCGTCTATTCATATATTAGTTTCCCCTTTTACGTTGCATTACTGAAATAAATGAACTTTTGCACGATATTCTGATTGTTCGAGTATCGCCTGTATGTATGTATGTATAAATGTGTTGGGTTTTTTGTTTGTTTGCTTTTTCCTTTAAACGTGGATAATCATTTGTTGTTTCTTTCTAGTGTCTGGATGCCAGCCGTCCTTGGCTCTGTTATTGGATTGTACATAGTTTGGGTTTGCTAAATGAACCAATTCCTGAATCTGTGGCATCACAGTAAGTTCATTATTTCCTACTGCAGTGTTTTGTGTGTTATGTAAAGGAATACTTTACACACTTTAACTGCTAAAGAGTGGTCCAGGCACTCCTCCCTCTCAATTATATGTAATCAACTCATTTTTAGAAAAGTTTGATTTCTTGCATGTGGTCTGCTGGATGCTGCCCTCCCCCCCCCCCTCTTATTGTAGTGCTTAGCTTATTGGCTGAGAGCAATGACTGGCTGTCAGGCTTGGCATAGAGCGGAGAGCTTCCAGCTGCAGTAGATGTAGGGAGTGGGGCACAGTAAAGTCTAGATGAGAAGTTAAATAGTTTTGTGGTGTCAGAGGTTTCCTTTAGCTATGTGAGCACAGCACACCTGTCCATAGGGATGAACAAAATAAACGTACTGAGCAGCAAACTAAGTTATACAAAACACAATCAGAGAGTGGGGCTGGACCGCTGGTCTTATTGGAGGCCACCTATCTTGGCTCCGGGCCTGAGCTCCTGGAAACCAACTGCTCGAAAGTTGGATTATTTGATGGAACTGTAGGTAGTATAACCTCCGCTCCAGTTTGATACCCGTGAGTAACCAGTTGCATACTGTGGGCCCAGATACGGACATCCTTAGCCTACTCACCACTACGACCCCGGACTTATGTGGCTTTTGAGTGGGGTCCGGCAACACGATGGTTTAATCAGATGAGAAAACCTGATGGAAAGCGGACAATAACAATACACAAGAGATTCCTACCTCAATGGAGAGTTCTGCTGGCTTTGGGTGTTAAAACACTGATGAGGCTTATTCATTAAATGACAGATTGCAGTGCATTGAAACACAAATTGGAGATGAGGGTGAAGACTGCTATAGCAGAGTTGTATTTTAATTTTAGTTTTTATTTTTCTTCTCTCTTTTTCCTCCCTAATTAGACATTTTTGCACAGTTTTTACAATTTGGTTTCAGTTCCTTGAAATGTTAGTGTTAACATATACTGTATTGGCTACAATTCTGATGTTTAAATGCGAATGCCTGCTTTATGAGAAATGTACATTTTTTGTTGTAAGGTATGAACTATGGCGCTTACTGACTGTTTAGCTCTTTTTTTGTTAACAAGTGCCATAGGTTCAAAACCAGCCATCGTTACTGCTTAATAATTTCTAATAATCTGTTTTGTCTTTTCAAATCGCATGTCCCCATTTTAATATGAACAATTGAATGCTGCAAATCATTTTATTTCTGTGTGCAGTATGCAAGCTGTTCACCCATAAGCAAAACCTATAAAACTGAAATAATGGCTCATATTGTTTAGTTTCCTGGGTCAAAGCTTGCTCACTGCATCCTCATAAATGAAGAAAAGATCCCTTTGTGTCTTTGAACGGGGGAGTACTAAATACAATAATGTACATTGAACAATCTTTAGATTAAGTCATTAGCTGGACATACAGTCCCTGAGTCCAATTCAGTCTTCTGTTTTAGATGATGTCAGCGATGTTACCACCCCAACGTTCTCCTAAATGCTAGAAAGAGTCTGGTAGAAAGTGCGACATATGCAATATTAGATAGGAGTGAGTTTTAAATAAATAATAATAATAAAAAATCTCTTTTAAATAAAAGCCTTGTTTAAAAAAAAAAAAATTACAAAAAAAAAGTAACATTTATTTTCTTTCTTTTTTGCTACAGCGTTTGCCAGTTTCTTGCACGATGCCAAGATGTGAATGGAGGCTTTGCTGGGGGTCCTGGCCAACAACCCCATCTTGCTCCCACATATGCCGCTGTTAACGCTCTGTGTAGCATCGGAACAGAAGAGGCGTTTGATGTAATTAATAGGTACATGCATAATCATTTTGCAACAAGATGGAGATCCTTTTTATTATTTATATATATATATATATATATAAAAACACTTTGTTGCTGCCATAGTGTAGAGTGATTCCACTGGCATGATTTGCATTGCAGGATTTTGTGTGCAGCATCTCACAATGCCAAGCATTGCTCTTGTCTTATTTGTAGCATTGAGCTCTTTGGAATTAATGTTATAAAATTTAGTGAGCACATTTGTTGGCCTAAACTATATTTTGCTAGAAGCAGGCAGGCTGTGACAGTAGTCATATGCTGCTTCACTGAATAACCTCTTCCTGGAGTAACAAGTGATCGTGTCTCATTCTACATTCTGCACTTGTGGCATAGATTTTGCATTTTTTTTATGACTGTCCTTACAGTTGAAAAATGATTTTCCAATGTATGCCTTTGTGTTTCCCCAGGGAAAAGCTTCAAGATTTTTTGTATTCATTAAAAAAAACAGATGGCTCTTTCAATATGCACCTTGGTGGAGAAGTTGATGTCAGGTCAGTTCTATAGTGTAATAAAGACACATTTATATAATCTAGTTGAACTTATTTTGACCATGTAAAAGAGCACTTGAGGGACTCTTTCTTCCAGATATTAATAAGTAGTAATGGTTTCAGTTCTTCTATTGAGTAGGATGATTGACAGGAGTACACTCTGTCAATCTCTAGATATCTCTGGTCTGGGAGTGTTAGTTGATGTAAGCTGCAGTGTTTATGGTGCTTAAAGTAACCCTTTAAATATTTTCAATCAATGAACCACATTTTTTTTTTATTTTTTTTATACATTTCATACTACTTGACCTAAAATATGTGCAACATGTTCTAGATATTGAATACTATTAACGGTCATTTGGCTCATGTTAGTGGAGTGATGTGTGCTAAAATATGGCTTTATTTCATTCTAGAAGTGCTTATTGTGCTGCCTCTGTTGCATCACTTACCAATGTCCTCACTCCTGATCTGTTTGACGGCACCGCTGAGTGGATTGCAAGGTAGGAATACATTTCACGAGTTACTGTAACTTCCTCACTAGACATGTGTAAACAAGCTATTAGTGGATTGTTGTTCACTGCATTTTATGTGGTTTGTTTGTGTAAAATGTGCTTTTAATTACTAATGTCTGAATAGACAAAACATTGGCAGTTATTCACCAAGATGAGAATTCACAGCAAACGTCAAATTTAAAGCCAAAGCAGCCGTAGTGGAAGCAAACGCTGACTTAGAGAATGTTTCCAGGTCTGGTATTTTTACCTTGAATTTGAAATTCACTTTGCGTTGTCACTTTAGTTAATAGCCCTGTAAAATGTCTATTGATAAAAAGTTGAGATAAATAAAGCAAAACTTTCCGCTGCATTCTTTAGCAAGTGGTTGATCAAATTACTCTAATGTTCACTGTCTTTGCTGTCAGCTGAATGCTAAGTGAATTGTGCGGAGTGGATCTTGGCTATTTTCTAATTAATTTCATTGCTGCTGTGAGACTTGTTTACAATTCTGTTATGGTGTATTCAATCTAATGGAGCCAAGTTTCACTAGACAACGTGTGTGTGTGTGGCGCACACAGTGAAAGACACTCAGAGTATTACACAGTTACATAGCTAAAAAAAAAGACTTGCGTCCTGTGGGGATATTTATGGGATGATAATTTTAAGCAGTCGAGAATTGCCCACTATTTCAATTCTCTTAGATCTTAGAGATCTTTTATCAAATAAGTGAAAAGTATTCCATCAATAATTCACAATTTGTTATAAAAATAGATTTATTTTTAGTGTAACAAATTAACAAATATTAGGCATCATGTATGATATTAATCAGTGAATATTTAGTATAACATAGTATACAATACAATGGAATGGCTATACATGTTCCAAAGCTAACAGCATTTTCTGTCACTTAAGATTTATGAGGGTATCCTTACAGACAAAAGTAAAGCTTTTCACAGCGAAGAACCATAAAACCCTGGCTAACAGTTAAGTCAACTGAGTAACCCTTTCAATGCTGGCTAGATCCTCCTAGGCATATAATATCCTATTTTCCTGTGATTTTCAATTAAAATAACATTTGAACCAGCTCATTAGTCATTTTCTGGAACCATCCAATAAGAATAATCTACCAGATTCTATAAGCAGAATATTTATTTGCCTAAAAAGATATCTTATCTTAATTTAGAGCAAATCAGTACACCTGGATAAAAACAGCGGTATGCTAACACGTGATAATATCACATTAATATATAATTATTCTTAATTCCACCTGCAGAATGGAATGTTTATAACTATATATTCTTTAGTTAACTAAGATTTCTAATATGGAAATCTGACCGTGATTTATCCAGTCATATATCATGCTATTAGTAAATTTTAATTTGAATTAATTAAATAAAACCAGCATAATTACCAGTTATGTAGATATTCTCATCAGATGAATAGGTAGTCCCAGAAACTTGATTGGTTGTATGGAAGTACGTGAGTGATAGAAAAAGTATTAGAGAGTTTAAGCATTTATGTGCAAGAGAGTTTAAGGGTAGAGTGTTAGTCCCAGATATTGTCCTGGATTTCTCTGCATGTCCGAGTTGGAGTCCAAACTTCCAATTCCTCTCTCTGTCTCTCAACTCCAACCACCCTCTCTCTTCTCTTTACTTTTAAAGGGCCAGACTCTTTGTACGTCATTAGTTGATAACCCAATAGGAAGCCGTAGGTGTGTCCAATCTATGGGTCGCAATTTAGGTATTTGATCCATAGATGGCAGTCTCGTCTAACGAAACCTTCCTATCCAGGAAAGAGTTAACTTTTCCTGATGACTATTTTGACATCATTTGGCTTATCTAAAATGACTACCATAACTTAGATTTGCTGTCAGTTCAAAGCGTTTGTGCCAGTCTTTGTGGCAACTACGTTGGTCGTAACTTGTAAAATTGATAGTTCTAAACTCAATTTCACACCTTATTTTACAATGGTACCTTGTAAAATTTAGAAAGTAAAATGAATTACTTAGTCTTCTCTGTCACTAGTGTTTGTGTTTAGATAATACATTCCTTTAACATTTAGACAGAGCATTCCATCCCCCTTGCTTAATTGCTTATCTTGGTTAGTAAAAGTAAGAAGAAACTATGTCTCTGCTATCCTGAAAATAGCAAAATGGAGTCTGCTTTGTTCTGAGTGACTTGGGCAATATACACTTTTAATTTCTTTTTAGCACAAAATGTCTGTTGATATAAATATTCTGACAGTCCATCAAGTTCCGCCTTCCTCGCATATGTTTTTGCTGTTGATCCAAAAGAAGGCAAAAAACCTAGTCTGTAGCGCTTCCAATTTTGCAACAAACTAGGAATACATTCTTTCTTGACCCCAAAATAGCAGTCCGATGTCTCCTTGGATCATACAGCGATTACCCCACTAATTAGAAATTATATCCATATAATCTATATGGACTAACATCTATATGGACTCTGATAAAACCACCTCTCCAGGCAGAGAATTCCATATCCTTATTGTTCTTACTGAAAAAAAAAAAACTTTTTCTTTGCATTAGATGAAATCCCCTTTCTTCCAGCCTAAATGTGTGACCTTGTGTCCTATGTATAGCCCTGTTTATGAATAGATTTCCAGATAATGGTTTGTACTGGCCCCGAATATATTTCTATAATGTTATCATATATCCTCTGAGGTGCCGTTTTTCCAAACTAAGAGATTTACATTTTTAAACCTTTCTTCATAACTAAAATGCTCCATTCCTTTTATCAATTTTGTAGCTCATCTCTGCACTTTTTCTAGTATGCCAGTATGTACAATGAATTGGTGAATTAAACAATACCCTATATAGATTCCTCTCAAAATGTAGCTGAAAGAGAGAATTACTAATATAAGGTAGGTAGTACAGTTGGAATACAATATAAGGTGCACATAATAAATAAATAAATATATATATATATATATATATATATATATATATATATATATATATATATATATATATATATATATATATATATATATATATATATATTTTAAACTGTACTACCTACCCTATATTAGTAATTCTTTCTTTCAGATACATTTGAGAGGAATCTATACAGGGTATTGTTTAATTCACTAAGTCACTGTACATAATCTGTGAGTGTGTTTCACTTTGTGCGCCACACACTATATATACACTTTGTCTTTTGCTTTCAAGGTGAAATTAAGAGATTGCATGCACATTTGTTTAGCACCAATCTGTATCATTGCACTGAATTTTTGGATATTTGAACCAAATTTCACTGCGAGAGTAAGATTTAGGGATTATTTATGGTTTAGATGTAGTTACATGGTTGGGGGTAACATTACAGTGCCTGAGGGTTACAAGGCATTGAGTTATGGGTGACAGTCGCCCTACTCTGTTTTGGGGATTAGACTTTGTTAAACTGCTCATTAAGCAATTTGCTTTTTGTATTGCAAATGGTTGAAATCTTTAACTTTCTTGCAGGTGTCAGAATTGGGAGGGTGGCATTGGAGGTGTTCCGGGCTTGGAAGCCCATGGCGGGTACACTTTTTGCGGCCTGTCTGCTTTGGTCATTTTGAACAGAGTACACCTTTTGGATCTGAAGAGCATGCTGGTAAGTGATGGGAATAGTTGCTTTTACCATTGTCATAGTATTTATACCTTGATAAATATTTGGGTTTGTGTTTTTTTTAAAGTGTGTTGGACTACCAAGAATTAGGGGAAGTAGAGTCCTTCAATACCCTTAAACATATACATACAGAGTTATGAAATAAAGTGAGAATTAAAAGATAATTACAAATGTAAAGCCAGAAAAGTCATACCGGAAGCATAGCTAATCTAGAGAATTTTTTAGTTCAGCTATTGACTTCTCACTTGCATAACGCTGCCAGAAACTCTCCCTCTACTATACCCATCCACATATCACTCTAAGTGAATTAAAAAGTAGACTGTCAAACTATACAGTGTCACATCTCAGTATACCCATGTCACTGATCCAGTTTGTCCCATCTTCATGTCTCCTTTATTTTTGCTTCCAACTTGCTTAACTGCATTCAATACTTAAAAAATAAAAAAATGATTTTTTATTTTTTTAAAAATCCCCCACCCCTCCCCCACTTTTTTGTGTGTTTACAATCCATATGTAAACGTACACAATGATGCACAATGTGAATCATTATATTATGGATATGTTGAGAGTATAAAGAGGATATTGGTTTCCCATAATGCATGTCTTATTGCGTTTATAAATTCTATTCTATTCTTTTTACATTATGTAATAAGAATGTGTCCCAGGTTGGGGCATTGCAAAAAAAAAAAGTTGGTCCTCAGGGTAGTGCAGCTCCATAGTGTAACTTAACATTCCCAGAGTGGAATATGTCCTTTTTCTTAGGGACCCCAGACTGCACAGATCCATGAAGTGGGATTATAAAATGATTGCCTGTTACACACACTCCACTGTCCAAATAAAAAATAAACTGTTAATATGCATGTTTTTATTGGAGTTATGTCTAGAAAAACAAGATCTGCAGCTTTTGTACGCTGTTTTAACCCTGTCCAGTGAGACTTCCAAATGCAGCTCAACGAGAAGTGTGTGCAAGATAACTTGTCTTCCCCATTGAGTTTAACAACCAGATCGGGTGTTTGGCACATTTTATAAAAATCACATTGTTGCATACCTAGCTGTCAATTTCTATTGAAATTTGCAGTTTTTTGTAAAATGAAAAAGAGGGCACACTATTCACACATATAGCACTTTAGCAAGCTAGAGTAATTTGGAGTGTCCCTTTTAAATAGGCAGATCATGGAATAGCATTAAAAGAATTCACAAACCTTTCTAATGATATGGACAGTTGCACAGCAAATTATAAGATATTGAGGTTTTCTTAAAGTTGAACATGTGCCTTTATTCCAGCTACTATGTGTTGCCCTGGAGTCTATCAAGCCTGATCCTTGAGGGAGTCCTTTTTAAAATGGAAACCTTGCCAGGTCAACCCATCGTGGCTGAAAGCAAGGCAAATTTTTGAAGCGGTGGTACAAGAGGTTCTCTACACCATCTGATTTCTACTTCTGCAAGGAACTATGCTAAATTTGTGAACAATGCACATTAGCCAGTGCAGAACTTAGGTTGCGGGTAGCTAATGACGCTACAGTGACCTGGCAGGGGGTGGAGTTACACCTCCAGGATTAGTGTGGTTAAACTCCTGTATGTGCAGCTCCACCAAAGTGGTCTTGATGCTCAGAGTAACCTTTTAACCCTACATAACTATTTATGCTTCAACTAGGTGTGTCCCAGCTCATTATTGATCATTGTATGCTTTCTCTATGGTGACACCCATGTTTCTATTTCACCTCCTCATTTGCAGGCGTACGTTGGCTTTGCTTTGTCTTAACTGGATTGTTTTGTCTTCTGCTAAATATTTAAAAGGAACACTATAATGTTAGCAATAAAACCATGTATTCTTAACACTATAGTCCTGGAGTGGCTGGTTAGGCAGCACTGCACTAATCAGCATCTCTTCTTAGAAATGCATTCAGCACACACTGCAGCACTAGTCTAGGAAGCACCTCACAAGGCCATCAATGTAAACACTATTTCTCTAAAAAAAAAAAAAGGCTGAGCCTTCAGGGACAGGCTATAGACACCAGAACCACTACGTTAAGCTGTTGTAGTAATGATGATGATAGTATCCCTTTTAAAAGAAAACCGCTCCTCATGAAAAAAATTGTCAACAAGTTATAGAAGATTTTCAACGTTTATTAAAACGGTGTAAATGCCAGAGAAGAACCAGTTCATCTTTAAACCTCTCTTGATGGGATGTGAAAGGTGAGGACCCACCACCCTTATCAATATAACTTTTTTTGCTCGCTCTCTCTCTCCCCCCCTCCCGTTCTGTATAGCGATGGGTTGCATTCCGACAAATGAGGTTTGAAGGTGGATTCCAAGGCCGCTGCAATAAGCTTGTTGATGGCTGTTACTCTTTCTGGCAAGCTGGGTTAATGCCTCTACTTCATAGAAGCTTACACTCTGAAGGTAACTATGTTTACAAAAGATCTTTTCTAAAATATATTTTACAGCCTTAAACACAGAGACTTACTGGGACCAACTTTTGTTCTTTTTCTCACAGCGGATCCTGCCCTCAGTCTCACCAACTGGATGTTTGATCAGCAAGCAATGCAAGAATATCTTCTCTTGTGCTGTCAGGCCCCAACAGGGGGATTACTGGATAAGCCTGGAAAGTAAGTCACTCAAATTCTAAAGGTTTCTTGTTCTAGTTTCCTATATTACCACTGTCCCCCTAACAAATAGTGTGAGCTACTAGAAAATAGGGCAGCAGTGTTTGTAAAACTGCTGCACACAGCCTGGAAACATTTAGCTGTTCTTTGTATAAAGAGCCAATCTTTGAGAAGTCAAAGCCCAAAACCATGGGGACATGATTTAAAAGGGATATTCTAAGCACCAAAAACACTTCAGCTTAATGAAGTGGTTTTGGTGTATAGATCACACCCTTGCAGTCTCACTAATCCGTTATCTGCCTTTTTTTGTTTGTTTATGGAGCCCTAGTCATACCTCCTATGTTTGTACATCCCTTATTGCACACATATAAGCATTTAGCTCCTGCTTTTTGAATTACCTATTAGAACATAACGTATCCTCCTGTGTGATTAAAGTAATAGATGAATACAGGAACTTCTAACCTAAACACACAAGTCTATCATAACTAATTTCACGGAGGCTGCCACAGCCAGGGTAGGTGTGGCTAGGTCTCCATTAAAGTGACAACACCAAACTTAGACTGCCAGGGCATTACCAAAACTGCTTCATTAAGCTAAAGTTGTTTTTGTGCTTAGAGTATCCCTTTAAAGGACAACTGAACAGACCTTCACTTCTCATTTAAAAGCTTATCAATTAACTTTTTTTTAAATCACAATTTTAATAAATGTGACTCTGTGGTTATCTGACAGACCCGGTCAATCTAGCTTGTCTGATGCTGCCTCCACCATAGTAGATTTTGACAACAATCGTGATGGATAATGTGTATATTGTCTTAATAGGGATCTGATTAAATTTCACTGTCAGAGCCATGCTTCTTACTTGCTCTCTCGGCATTCTTTTCTCACTTCTATTTAATTATTCCCTTCACTATCTTTTTGAGCAGCCTTGAAAGGAAGTGACACACAAATAGAACGAGAGAGCATATAAGCAGCATGGCTCTGAAAGTTTAAACTGCTACATAGGGTCCAAGAGAGCACTCCTGTACTGAAGGGTTCCCAATGTGCTGCCTCCTTACAGACTGAAACAACTGTGTGCGCACGGATCCCTTCCATATATGTAGCATTTTCATTTCAGAGTCCTGCTGCCTAATCTTTCTCGCATTCTCTCCCTGTGCAACTCAAACTTGTATAAATGGGCAGAGGTGAGCCAGTACTAGCATGGCTGGAAAACTGCTTAATGAACAGAGAGAACACTCCTATATTGATCTGCTCTCTACCCAGTTTGTTCCTAGGCTCAGTCAGAAGGGAGCAGACTGGAAACAAACAAATTTAATGGATAATTCAATTACAGTTTTAAAATAGATGAAACTGGAGGAGGAGAAAGAGTAAGCAGAGATACACACTAACAGGTCTGCCCTGCAGCAATAAAGTACGTACAGAGCCGTGATGTCATTGCACTGTGTGACATGCAGAATCAGGCATTCTAGATTGACCAGCTGTCAATTGGAAAACAGCAGAATCTGACCAGATATAGCAGTGTATCCAGATAAAGTGAGATTCATCCAAATAAATGTAAAATTAAGCTTAATCAATAAAGTAAAAAATTGACAGTTAACAGTAACGTTGCAGTATTTAAAAAGTTACTCCACAAGCCAGTCCTCACAACCCAGCAACAGTCCAGGTTTGGTCAGTATCTCCACTGGAGTAAAAAAAAGAAAATGCATAAATCCTGGATTGTTGGTTGGCCATGAGGACTGGTTTGGGAACCACTGGGTTACTCTAACCACCATGACCACTTCAGTGACTTGACGTGTTCATGGTGGTAGGAGTCAGTATGTGCAGGGTTGCTGCTTAAAACATTGTACATACAGAGGTAGTTGCACTCCCAGCACACATGACTTGGGCAGCCAGGATCTCATGTTCCAGTCAATTCTGTGCATAATATACATCTTGTTAGCGCACAATGCATGCTGACTGCAAGGGAAAGATTTCCACGTCTGTCAGAGTGCCTCACTTTCTGTAAGTATAAATGTGTGAATGTTTAAGGATGTATTTGTAGAAGAGTCTTAACAGGATTTCAATTTTGTTTCCTCTCGCTATCTTTTAGATCCCGTGATTTTTACCATACCTGCTACTGTCTGAGTGGACTGTCAATAGCACAGCATTTTGGTGGCGGTGATATCCTACATGAAATCATAACCGGAATCAAAGAAAATAGATTGGTAAGGAAATAATTAAGGCCTTAAATGGGGCACTCTAACTTTAAAACAAGCATAATGAAGTGGTGTATAGATCATATCCCTGCAGACTCGCTGTTCAATTCTCTGCCATTTAGCAATTAAATCCATTTATTTATGCAGCCTAGCCACACCATCATTGGCTGTGACTCGTACAGCCTCTCAACACTTCCGGAAACGTTTTGTTTTTTTAATCTCCCCTTAATGCAGTATTTTTATTTAGAATTTCTCATCTCCTTTTGTAATCAGCAGCACAACAGGCTCTGTTTTTGTTTTAATGTTGTAGGAGATAAGAATTTCTATAAACAAATGCTTAAACCATCGGATTTGAAAATTAAACTCCACACGCAGGCTGTGCGGCTAAGGCTGCATAAATAGAATTAAAAGTGATGCAACTCCTAAATGGCAGAAAATTAAGTTGGGCTTTTTAATGGAAATGGGTACCTATGGCATCTGCCACACAGAACACGTTTTATTAAAAAGAAACAACCTTAAATAATCAAGTAGTTAAATAGTTTAACACCCCAAAATTCTCTGCATTGAGCTGACAAGTCAGGCTAAAAAGTTTCTCCACTTCTATAGAAGGGGGACATGGGAGTATTCCTAGCACCGTAAACACAACTTACTGTAGCTCTAAAACTAGTTCCGAGGGAACAACAACCCCTTGAGCCATCATCCCAATAAAAGATAACAAAATTATTAGTGTCCCTTTTAAAAAAAATAAAATGATATGCAACCTAAGTACAATAACTACTACAGCACATTGTAGTGGTTATGGAGAAGATTCTCTAGGGTCAGCAGCAGGTAGGGTGGTTAGAGTGCACTGTCCCAAGATCGATAGTTCCTGCAAAAGGGGGAGATGTTATAAGTGAACTTTAAACTGCAGATTTACTAAAGCTCAAAGTGGGTACTATGGCCCTTGACTTTCTGTTGGACATGATTAGCTCACATTGTGCTTATAGTCTTTGTTACTGTAATGGTTAAAGATCCAGTATCAAATTAGTGTTTCACTCGTACATATTTAAAGCAGAATATTTAGGTTTACTGAAATTCTCTTTACTTTTAACAGAATCACACTCACCCTGTGTATAACGTTAGCCCGGATAAAGTTGCTGGAGCCATAATGCACTTCAGACAGAAGGAAGTTCCACAAACCTCCAGGAAAAACTAGCACGATCTAAAGGAGAGACCACCCCTCCCCCACAGGCCTACATATTATTACATGGAAAGCCATGATCAGATTCCGAATGTGCTGAATAGCATTAACTTTGTACTTTAGGTTCTGCTGACCAACTAAATACGTATCACCACTCCAATGCTAATTTAATACAAGGTAACTAATTTCTGTCACATGTCCGTAATGAGTAGTGTGACTTGCAAAGAAAAAGGGCTATGGACTGGATCAATGTGTATAGGAATATGTATTGATCCTCCTCAACTTGTAGTTTTACCATCAGTCTCAAACGCTAACTAAATACTACTTGCCTATATTTGTAACTTATTTATGTTCTGTTCAAAGCGGCTGAATGCTATCGCTATTGGACAAATGCTACATGTAGATATTCCAGTGGGCAATGTACAGCTACAAGATATGTTCTTAAAAAGTAATTCTATCCCAATCTGCTGTGAGTGATGTATGGCTTCTATAAAACTACCTGCCTAACAGAAAACCCCAGTATTAATTTAACACAGTCTGGGTAGGGGAGTTTAATGTTCCTTAACATAATGGCATATTTAAGCTTGCTTTTATATGTATACTATGTATTAAACAGTATTTTAAAGGCACGGTGTTTGCTCACACGGTTAGAGGCTACTGTGTAGCTTTAAAAAGAACTAACTTACATTGGAATTTAACGAGCGATTGCGAAATGCGGAAATGAAATTGGCATTCAGTAAACTACAGATTCTGCTAACATGTTGAATAAAGTAGTATTGCATAGCAGTTTGTTGGAGATGTGTACATCTAACTGGGGGTTGGGGATAGATAATTACTAAATTCTTATACCCCTAACTTGTATTTAATAAAAGGATTTCTTTTTCTACAATACTGTATGGGTGAGGTTTATCATTTCATTCACACAGCTGTATTTAAAAAAATTAAAAATAAAACACTGGCAAAATTGAATACTTAAGAAAAATATTTATTCATACGGAGTCTAAAAATTGGCAATTTATTAAACATCAATATCGGGTTTAACACTTAAAATTCATTGATTGCTTAGGATAACCAGCTTGATCCTTTTTGCCAAGAGAAATGTATTCCCCCCCCACCCGTACCCTTTTCAGGAATGTATAATAAAAAGGAATAAAAAAAAAAATAGAATATCTTCTTTGTAAAGAGGAACCAAGCTGCAGTTTTTGATTGTAAAACATTTTCAAAATGTATGCTCACAGTCTCAGAATAAAAAAAAAAGTAACCTAAAACTTACAGTACTTTAGTCTCAAGAGATGAAAATGTCCTGAATTTTTAAACTCAATGTTTTTCTTCAAATGAACAAAAACTTGCCGTTTCCCACTCCTTGGATGTTGACTAAACGAGAATCTTGTAGTAATCGTCTCTGTAACTGTACAACACCAGCACTGGCACTCTGTAAAGACGTGTAGATTAATTAGTGGGTTTATCTTACAATGCGTTGATACTTTATTGCAGAGCTCTGTAGGTTTTCTGTTCCTAATGAAAATATATAACTAGTGATCTGATTGTACAACAGCCATAACAATGGAGAAGTCTGAGGTTTAGCAATCAACAACCTTCCCCTGCAGTTATATGAATTAAACTGCTGCCAAATGGAATTACATAACCCATGAACTCCTAGGTATTCAACAAAATCCTTGACCTCCATTTAGTTTTAAGAGTGCTGAAGCTGGCTAACCTGTCTATCTTCAGTTTCAGGATCTTTGAGGGCAAGTTTCATTTTATTTATTCACCAATATGTATCTTAAAGTGTAAAAATTGTGGTTGTTCAGGATTAAAGGAACACTCCACATTCTCTTAGAAGTGAGGGCTTCTCTATGAGAGGCATTCTATTGGTCTGCAGACAATTTATTGGCAGGCAAGGTGGAGAGGAGCTGCTACAGGAACACCTCGACGCTGGATTACAGGTAGGCTAAGCAATGATTTTAGTTTAAAAGGGGACAAGAAAACTAGATTGTTATAACTTTAGCACATAACAGAGTCCTTTACTGGGTAGGGGACTAGCGTTATTCACGAAAGTGAATTTCAAATTAAAAAGGTAAAAATAGCTGAACTGGAACCGTTCTCTAAATAAGCTATGCTTTCCCTTCGGCTACTTTGGCCTCAAATTTGAAATTAACTTTAACACTTTATTGAATAATGTGGTATCCCTTCAAGTTTTCCCTATGTGCCAATAATGCACATATCAAATGCATTTACATTGGGATTTTAAAATCATAACCAAGTTATGCAGAGAAAACCAACCTTCAGAACAGTTTAAAGTGTCCACACCCCTTCCCTCAAACGCAATTTAGAAATGGAGATTTGCCATCACAATCCACATACAGCTGCTGGGTAGAGGGAAAAAGACAGGGGCTTGGCACCTCCACTCATTATGTACAGTGCATGTTCAGCACAGAGAAACACTGCTACCCAGCGACTCGCTCTGCAAGGATTAATGACACCTGGCATTCTGCATTACTTGCTCTGTGCTGCTCACACTGTACATAACACAAGTGATCTAGAAACTGACACCGGTTCTAGTCTTCCATGAATGTCACTTACCGTGTGGAGGAAGGGTGAGTGCAAATACAAATCACACATTCTAGACAACGTGCTATAGATAAAAGGTGCCCAAAATGTAGATCCCCAGATGTAGAATTACAACTCCCATAATGCTTTGCATGCCTTCAGAATGGCAAAGCATCATGGAAGCTGTACTTTTAAAACCTATGAGAATCTACCTTTCAGGCAGCTAAATGAGAATGCAAAAGAAAATGTTTGTGAGAAGTAACTTTCTGGCATGCTTAGAGTGTATAAGGGACACTTTATAAGAAATATACAACTCTAGCCCACAGCAGTCCCTAGACTCTTTGTCAAACCATTAAAAAGGCAATTAGACAAAAAATGGTGCTATAAAAATCCGGCAAAGAACGATGCCTTATACATCTTAGATTGTGTGCAAGGTAATGCATGCAGTGCTGGCTTTGTTATATGATCAGCTTGTAAAGGTATAAATATAAACATTTCTGTTACGCGTGTGGAGAAACATTGAATAACAGGGACAAGCAAATCATCTTACCTCTTTTCCATTTTTATGGTGTAAATTTCATCGAAGACTTGTTTCAGATACCTTTGCTTAGGCAATCGAGACATCAGTTGCTTAACAGACGCATTAAAGGTTTGCTCGTCTCCAAACTGTAAATCAATTTAGATAGTCATTACAAAACATTTCTCTTCCCAATAGTTGATTGCTTTTTACAACTCGATCAGCTCCTGCAGGTAAGTACCTCAAATTAGAGAGAATAGAACTGAAAGAATTTGCTACTAAATTCCTGCCGCTTGTATTAAAATAAGCAGTAAAAGACCTTAGAACAGAATAATCAATACAAACATCTATTCACATACCGTACTTGAATGGTGTGTAGATTGTGTGTAATATTTCCATTTCAAACCATAAAAAAGTCTGTTACCTCAAAGGTAAAACACACAACATCCAGTGTGCAGAAAATGAGGATTGCGCATTACCAAAACACAGAGAGCTAAGAGTTTTGTGACATACAGGATGTGAATCCTACCTAGACAAAGGTGTTCTTACATTAGGTTATCTAACAGACACAATGTAAAACCATGGATAGGAAATTCTATTGCCTGACACATGCAGTACGGGCACAATGCAGGTAGTAATTTTGGGCTTTTAGATGTAAAATCCTTAAAAGGACCACTATAGGCACCCAGACCACTTCAGCTTAATGAAGTGGTCTGGGGGCCGGGTCCACCTAGGATTAACCCTTTTTTCTGTAAACATAGCAGTTTCAGAAAAAATGCTATGTTTATAATAGGGTTAATCCAGCCTCTAGAGGGCTTCCGCACTTCTCCCTGCGATTTTCACAGCATTCAGCCAGTCCTACGGACTGGCTGAATGCGCGGGCAGCTCTTGCCGCGCATGCGCATTCAGACTGACGGGAGGAGAGGAGGACAGCTCCCCACCCGGCGCTGGAGAAAGAGGTAGGTTTAACCCCTTCTACCCCCTACAGCCCGGTGGGAGGGGCACTATAGTGGTCCTTTAAATCTTCCTTTATATTAGCGATAAAGTTTCTCTCAAGTACCAGTGTAGTTTTACATATATGAACGTAACCTGATACAATGTACGTGAAGGAAGAAAAGTGAATTTCAAAATTAAGATTAAATTAGCAGAACTGAAAAGTTACACCATTTGGCCAATTTAAAATGTGACAACAGGTACTTTAGTCACAAACATTGTGCAAACAAATAGGAAATACACAAAGAAAAAAGTTACCTGCGCCCTTTCCCAAACAAATGGAGGTTATTAAGTTACTCCTATGGACATAAGATGTAAGCCCACCTGCCACTTCAAGGCAAATCGCCTAGGTGGGTCCTACACCATTCATTCATTTGTTTCCTTGAGCTTCCGGCAAAGATCTCTCTAATGAGACAAATGCCCCTCTCTGTCTCAGAGATATCTTTGCCAGAAGCTCAAGGAAGCAAGTGAATGAATGGTGTAGGACCCACCTAGGCGATTTGCCTTGACGTGGCAGGTGGGCTTACATCTAATGGCCATTGGAGCAACAAAATAACCTCCATTTGTTTAAATATACAGAGGGATTTGGGAAGAGTGCAGGTAACTTTTTTCCTTTGGTTTTTACTGTATGTATTGGGGCTGATGTGTACTGTGGTCGTTGCTGCCTCCCAAGCGTAGTGGGAGTTTGAGCGCAGGACTTTTTTTTATTTATTTTTTATAAATAGTTACTCGCTGAATTTCAAAGTGTAGCCCAACGGATGCATTCACTAAACAATAAAATGTACGGGACTAAACACCATATTACAAAATTTAGACCGAAAATTGCAGATTTGGAAACATTCTTGAACTTTGCTTCAGTCACAGCTTGGATATTACAGTCTGGGTAGTGTACTGAAAATCGAATTGCAAAGTTCAATTTGATGTTCAGTGAATGAAGGGTCTTTCAGAAGTTTCATGTATAGTGCAGTTCTTTAATGGAATTACCTTATGTGTGAGTGTTATTTGACAAATGATTTAATCTTGCCATTTCTATTTATTACAACTTTATATACACAAACACACCTCCAGGGACAGCAAATTCTGAATGGCTTCTTTTGACATATCAACCTAAAATAAAGAAAAACATTTTTTTTTTAAATCACCAAGTGAATGAACCCCTAAGGGTGGTGCTTCTAAGTCTTTTATTATTAGCCTTTCACTCCTTAAGCAACGTCCCTTGGCAGACAATAATCCACTTCTGTTAGGATTTAATTCTAACTGATGATAAGCACTCTATTCAAAATCACTTCCATAGCTTTCTATGTTAAAGCCACACAGTTGGCAAAAATTGACTTGGACCACCCACCACTTTTTTTTGTAATGCTTTACATTCATAATATGGAAGAAAGGAAAATATAAAACAGGTTGTCTGTTAAACTCATAAAGCTGCTGCACTTGCAATGGCAAGTGTCAGCAGACAGCCAGGCTAACCAGGAGCCTCATTTATTTTTGTTTTTTTGGTCTGATCATATTCCAAAGGCAGCCATAATGCCACTTATCAAAGAGGAGTGGTGGAATGGCTCAATAAGGTGGGAGCTGCGATACGGTTATCATCCGTTCATACAGTTAGTTGGTTTTTGTTTTGTTTTTTGGAATAAAGGGCTGTTATCTGCTAAGCTAACACACACACACACACGTACACACACGTAAAGGGATATCTATCCTGGTTGTGTGTGGTGTAAAAAACCCTGTTCATCTGACTTTACCAGATACCGTTCATCTAACTTTATTTCCTTCTATTATACAATGCTCCTTGCAGTGTCTCACAACTCCTTCCATTATGCTAATTTCCCTTCGGCATCTAACTATCCCCTTCCATTATGCACACAATAAAAAATACACACAATATCAAAAGATAATGTATGGCTTTTTATAGAATAGTTATAGAAAGATCAGGTTTGTTTATACATAGATTATAGAACACCATGTCAAATGAAATCATGGTGTGTAAACCATCATTGTAGAATTTTTAACTTGTTTCCCCTGTCCATAATCTTCACATCACCCTCACATAATCCTCCTAACATTAACAACTGTGCAGACCAGAACATAAGTCTGTTTATCCCAAAATGAAATTTAGGAGACAAAAGCAAAGTATGATTGTATTTCTAATCAAAGTTTCTGATTAGTTTTAATAGCCAGTGTCCAAACCCTCTCTTACTTTTATCTCTCTAAACACAAAGACATTGTCTTTCAGTGAGCAATGCCCTAATTTTACCAATTAAAAACAAGACAAATGGATTACTTACAGCCAGAATCTCAATCTCACTGTTTCTCTGCTGAAATTGCGTTATAAACATCTGGAGTTTTGAAAGGACCTGCAAATGTAAAGAAGATTTAATTAGTTGTGAGCAACTCCT